GAATGTCCAGATAATGTTTAGAAGTAGATCATTTATTGCATTACAATCTCAGTTGTACACACCTAGTAGAGTTAATTTCCTGGTCCGGTCTACCTAATGAGGCAGACATAAGTAGTTTGGTGCCATTCTTGGTGAGTTTATGTAATTCCTTTTCCCAAATTGATAAATTGAGAAATATTGTGGCATCCGCCATATCTAAAATTGAATGAGAGTGATATATCCTCTTGCATATAGTTTGTTATAATCAACAGTTATTCATTTAACTAATACATAAACATCAAGATTCCAACTCAGATGGAATTGGCAACTCTCTGCTAATAAAGTGGAATGTTGGCCATTGTACAAAATTTTTGTCCACTCTTTTTTCTTATGGGAGAAATTATCTCAAGTTCAGGTATATTTTATTTTTTTATAAAATGCTTTCCCATTCTTAGTGGCACTCAAGTCAACACGCTTCTGTTTTTTCTGCGCTACTGTATCTCCCACCCCCTTGTGAACTAACTTAAACTGAAAGATGATGACTGGCCCAAAGATAAGAGACCTCTCAGTATAAAAGTAAACTATGGAGCTTTATGGGCACTGGCCTCCAGAAACACACATTTTCCATCAGTGGCAATAACACAAAAGAGAGGGAAGCAGGCAAATAGGGGCATGGGAGGAAGTGGGAAGAAACTGTAACGTTTATCAAGCATCAGAACTGCCTCAAGATTGCCAGAAGGAAGGAAAATAAAATATGTAAGAAGGAGTATGTCTTTGTTCATGCCTGCACTGCAGCATCCCTGACCCCAGTGCCCTATGCAGTTTGGGCTAAATTGTTCTTCCCCTCCACTGATTTTGAACGGAAGAGAAGCAGAAAAAAGGATCCTGTAGTTTGGGACAGACAGTCTCCTCTGAAAGGGGATTCTTTTTTGCTCACCGTGGCCCTTTAATCCTTGAATACATTTTTTAAAAATATGTACTTTATTGCAGCAGTTTTAAGAATTAAACTCCTGGGATTATGAATTGCCTTTAAAATAAAAATGCAGGAAGAACACTGCAATTATTAGACAAATTTCCTGAATATTAGATCTTCAAAATATGTGATTTTTAGATCTTTCCTGCCAGCATTTCTTGAATATGTCCTTTTACAAGTATCTTAGACAACACATTTTAGATTGAAAGGATATTTGTATTTATTATTATTTCGTATTTTTATTCATAGACTTTCCACCATTAGAATCAGCTGCTTCTGTCCATGTTAGTTAGAACAAGAAACCAATATAAAAATTCCCTTGAGTTTCCTTCACTCCCAAATTGATGTTCTTTTCTTAGAACAAATATAGAAGTCCACTGCTTTTGGATTTTTAAAAAATATTTCCTAACCTTAATCTACATGGGATGTCCTGATGTTCTTTTGCCTAAGTACTCACAAGACCTGATGTTGCTTAGTTTTTTTCAAAATTGATCAAGACAAGCTAGGTACAATGACAATTTCATGATTAATGGTTGCTTTGAACAACTAAACAGCAGGATCTATGAAGTAAATTTATTTTACTGAAAATATTATAAACTAGTATACATTATAGGTATTGTAATACTATAATAAAGATATTTAGGTTATTATAATTGCATTTGCTAAGTATTTAATGGGAATAGTGGTGGTACTGTGGTTAGAATGCAGCATTGCAGGCTAACTCTGCCCATTGCCAGGAGTTCGAATTTGAGCTTAAGGTTGACTTAGCCTTCCATCCTTCCAAGGTTGGTAAAATGAGAACCCAGATTGTTTGGGGCAATATGCTGGGATGGTAAACTGTTTAGAGAGACTGTAAAGCACTGTGAAGCAGTATATAAGTCTAAATGCTATTGCTAATTTAACTGAAGTAGCACTAGAAAATAATTATCAATAAAGTCTTATGCTTCTTGGTTCTAATTCACAAATGATATCTAATTTCAATAAAAAATAGATTTTATGGAAGATGGATATTCAATCATTGGACTTTGTCCAATGACAATAAAAGTTCAAGTTGTAGTATCCAATGTGTCAATCTACATTATCTTGTATTACACAATAGTGTGATAAATAGTTTATATACACTCACACGGACTAAAGGTTGAAACAGCTTCCATGTTGGATAGGTTTATTATTTATTATGGTTATAAAACAAAATAACGGTAATTCAGTGGGAATTTCAGTAACTGAGTATATCTAATTTATTTCATAATATCTTCCTTGTATCAGCTTTTGGATTAATATGGAAACCCAAACATGCACTGGCAAAACAGAAATATGTAACAATCTTATATTGAAACTGAAAATGTATCACATTTTTATATATTTTGAATTGAGTTGGAAAAACTATTATTCCAACTATTCCACTAGTTAACTATTAGTTGGAAGTTAGAGGTAAAGTTGCCTCTTGTTAAATGATAAACATTGAATAATGCACAAGATTAATCTAGATAACTTTTTCAGAAGCTTAATGATAGCTGGTATATTAGGAGCTTGATGGCTTGCATGACTAGGATGCTGGGTTGGAGGTTAGCAAGATTGTGTTCAAGACCTGAGTACTGCTGTGGGGTGGGATTGAGCTGCCATCCTTTGCTCCAGCTCCTGCTGGAGAATAAAAAGGGCTTCCAACTCTGCATCCCCCAGGCAACAGTGATGTCACCGGCTGATGTAGAACTTTGTGTTGATAAATTTTGCTCTGCCTTGATAACCAAGCATTTGTGGTCGCTACTTTTTTTTTTTAAATAAAGTTTTATTTCTGTTCTTTTCTTTACATCAATTGATGCTATGTTTTAAAATGTACAAGTAGAATCTTAATCCAGTGTTCTACACCTGTGGATGAAACTCCAAGATAATCTGTACATCCTGTGTGTGCACATTTTCTTCTTTATTATTTACAACAGAATATAATCAGAAGCACAAGTTAAATTTGGGACACCACTAAAATCCTTAATTTGGATTTATGAAGTTTGCAAATTTGTGCTTTTGGAAAATGGTTTGAAAAAGCAACTAGCCATATAAATTAACCTGGAATAGAAATGCTTTATGACAGTGATGGCGAACCTTTTAGAGACCGAGTGCCCAAACTGCAACCCAAAATCCACTTATTTATCGCCGGGTGCCAGGTGGGCGTGGCCCACTGGGTGGGCGTGGCTGTGGTGGTCATGGTAGACTGGGTGGGTGTGGCCAAGGTGGGTGTGGGGAGGGATGCCTGTGGGGGCCGGGCAGGGTTGGGGGAAATCCAGGGGGTCTTTGGCAGGTGGGGTGGTGAGCAGGAGGCTCGTCCTGCGGGGTAAGACGAGGCAAGGCGAGGCAGGGCGGGAGTGCCATTGTCACAGGGCAAGGTGAGGCAGGGGCCGGGGTGGCTGCTGCCTGAAACCATCGGCCCCTGCACACAGAGGCCAGTGACTGCATGGGTGCTGGGATGCATCCAGCCATGTGGGACCTTGGCGAGTTAGCAGGTGACTGGTTGAAGAGGGATGGTTGCCATCTCTGGGGCATGGCGCGTGTGCCCACAGAGAGGGCTCTGAGTGCCACCTCTGGCACGCGTGCCATAGGTTCGCCATCACTGCTTTATGATATCCAAAGTTCAATGACCAATAATTTTCAATGGCGGAAGCTAATCTGCATACTCAAAACAAAGATACTTGTTGTTGAAAGATTCATATTAAGGACTCACTGCTATTCAAATCCAGGTGTGAAAGTGATACTACAAAGTGATTTTATTCATTGGTCCTCAATTACATATTTAATACAACATAGCACACTATTTTCTCTTATACCAGACTTTAAATATCATAAATATTATTTTATTATATTTCTCTTTTTAGTCATAAAAATTAGGAGTTCACATTTGATAACAGGAAACCTGTTTACAAAATAAAAATACTTTGTTCTGCAATCTGGCACTTAAAAGTATGGTTAATAATAACTGATATTAAAAGGGAATGATAGGGCAAACAAAATAATTTGCAGCACAACAATGAGATTGTGTTAAAATCATGTTGGGTAAGTGAAAGACATCCTATGAACAAAATATTTCTAAGTGACAGAATGGAACTAAGAAACTGAAGTTCTCAATAGCTATAGCCTGATACAGTAAAAAGTTCTTCTATAGTTCAAATCTTCAGAAAATGAATCCCCTGGTATAAACAACCCCCCTCCCACTGCATACCTATAAATTCCAAACGTAAATTTCTATACATTTTCTGTTAATATATTTTTTTTCTCTCCCTCTCCCCACTTCCCTAAAAGTACTTGAATTCACAAAAGTTGAACTAGGAAGAATACAAATTCAACATTTGTTTAACAAATCTTTTTGACCTGCAATTTGGATAAATTGTTACTGGAAGACTGAACAGGTTTAAAAGTGAATTGCTATATTTAACTGGAAAACAATGGAATTCTTTTGGTCTTTTCCTCATTTATTTGAAGCAATTTTGCAAATCAACATGCAACATTATCTATTCCAGAATCTACCTTGCACTGATAGGTTTAAAGTTTATTTCAGCTGTTGTAATATCACAGTATTCAATATATCGGATTCTTGTAATGTCAGGCTTTCATCTGTAAGTTCTTTATGTGGAAATGTAGTCAAAAGAACAAAGTCAGTTGTGGCAAACAAAGGCCGAGACTGGACAATAAAATTTCGTATATCTGTAATCCTGTTGGCATGAATAAGATTTACAATTTAGTTGTTGGATCAGCAGAATTTTATGATATTATAAAATGGAAGATTGGAAGGAATTCTGGAGATCATCTGTTCAGTTCCAAGATCCTGCAGGAAAATTATCTTACTTACCTATGTGTTTGATTAAATCTTTGTATTAAACGACTGCCATCAGCTAAACGAATCTGGATCTTAGTTGTTGGTACAGTGGCATCTATTGGAATAGTGGCATCAAGAAAAGGTTTGTTTTCTTCTTCTGGAGATGAAGGTGTGCTAACAATCTCAGGAGTAAGGCTAAAAGAAAATAAAACAAGGTAGGAAAAAGATACAGGACATGATTCTGGAATTCTTTCCAATTTCTTATTCGCATATTTGATCTTGGTCATGTGATCAGAAGCATACAGGTAGTCCTTGACTTATGAACAGTCACTTAGTGAACATTATGACAGACACTCCCAAAGGTACTTACAATTTGATTCCAAAGTTCCGATGGCCGCCCCACCCTCACTCACATGACCTTGTTGTGAGAACTCAACAACTGGCCTGAATCTATGTGTCCTATGGGCACATGATGGTGATTTATGATTTTTTTTTTTTGCTGAATGTGGTGTTTACTTCTGGATTCTGGTAAAAATGTTCTATAGTGCACAATGAGTTTGCTAAACAACTGCAGAGTTCACTTGATGATCACTGAAAACAAAAAGGTCTTAATAGGGTCAGTCATGTGATGATCATCACAATTTACAACCGTAACTGTCAGACTCCATTATGGTTATAAATTGAGGACTACTTGTATAGTGTTCAAGAATGAAGCAGCCAGCAGCATTACCCAAATTACCACACTCATTTGTCTGATAAATTCAGAATCAAGAAAATTTGGAGGGCATTATGTTGCTTATTCCTTGTCTAAACTATTGAAATGTTATGAATAAAATTGCACTATTGTTTACTTAATTTAAAGAACATGTCTTTTGCAGGAGTAAAAATATTTTGCAGATTGCAAACACCATCTTTGCAGATTTACTCTTCTAGGAAAAACCCTTGAGCAGAATTGCCTTGACTGAATATTTAGTCCTTATCTGTTTGTTTATAAACACTCAACTACCGTAATTGGTTTTGACATGTCTGGAAATTCTAATAAAATATATGTAAAAAATTTGATCATTTCATAGTACTAACTAACAATTTAATAAACTATACTTAGCTACTGCTTTTATTTTAACTTCTGAGATACGTTCTTGATATTATTTGTTCCATATTTAATAATTTAAGAAAACATTAACATTCAGACTAGAAACTGGGAGACCGCCTTAGCATGAAGTCAGCTTGGGCCATTTACTGTCTCCCAGTCTTATGTAGCAGGCAATGGCAACCACTTCCAAAAAATCTTGCCAAAAAAACTGCAGTGAATTGGCCAGACAATCACTGTGTGTTAAGATTCATTTGAAGGCATGGGAAAAAAATGCAAAAAACAACATACATAACTCTTCCCCAATACAGTACTTTTAAATATATCAGTACTGCAACTCCCAGAAATTGCATACCACAATATTCCAAACTCCTACTTTCAAATGCAATTAATAACACTTCAGTATAATTTCTTTTTAAATGACACTGGTGGTTTTTTTTAAGAGACTAACCTTCCAAGTTTCTGACCTTCTCCACTGAAAGCTTTGAACTTCAGTCTAGGTCTTACATATTCCTGCTCTTGATGGTCTTCCATATCTAAATTAACTTGACCTCCATGCACTAGTCGTTGAAGTTCAGCAGGAATCTCTCTTAGCAGCAGAAAAAAGAACAACAATGAGGAAACCTATAGACTAAGTTGAACAGTGAA